GGAGGAAATTTTACTTTTACCTTCGAAAATATCCATATGTAACAGATTCAGAGAAATGCAATATAATATCTTACAAAATGTCTATATATCTCCATATATGTATAGTAAATATACAGCAGGGGCCTCTCCAAACTGCCCAAAATGTAAGACTATTTTAGGGACAAGATTTCACTGCCTCTGGGAATGTGAAAAGATCCAACAGTTTTGGCAAACTGTATGTGATGAGGTTAGTGTGATAATCAAGCAGCAATTACAGCCTAATCCAATAAAGGCTCCGAAAGGCTGTTATGACTAAATGGGTGGGAGATGAACCTCCTTCAATAAATCTGTGGTTTGATATCAGACTATATTTCTCTGGAAAGACTGGGATTTGGTATTAATGGTCAGAAGGACCTTTTTACAGCAAAGTTTGGCAAAGTGCTGGAGTACCTGGGAACTCAGTGCAACTGCCTGAAATGTTAGACCTTATAAGGACTTTTGAGATCATTGCTGTGGATCTATTCTGGATTTGCTACATATCTCATATAATTTGTATATACACTGTGCTGGACTGTTTTGACATTTTGAAAATGTTCAATAAAAAGAATGTTCAAAAAATATATTGGGTTTGTCCTGTGTTTCATTACTTCCTGTCACAACATTACATTAGTTAAAGTAGGTATTCCCAGGATTGTGTAATTTTGCCATATTTGTTTATCTTGGCTGCTTCCTGTAAAGACATTATTCAAACAAAGTAGACAACACAACTTGAAGATTGTCCAAAGCATCATACTTGCCTTTAAATTTTAAAAATACATTGGCTAAAATCCTGGATTAAAAAAGCAATTCAACCAACTTGTTGGATTATATTTTCCATTAGTTTGTGAGTTCAATATTGTTTCTGTTATTATCTCCACTAGGTCTTACTGCAAGATGATGATTTTGGGGTAAAAAAGTTTGATTCATATCAGTTGAGCTACTCTGTTGCAAAATTTTGATGTGTATATTGGTTCTGGAACTCCACTTGTATTGTACACAGACCATAACCCCCTTACCTTTTTGCATTCCTTGCAAAATCCAAATTAGCGTTTAATGAGATGAGCCTTATTCTTGCAGCCTTACCAATTGGATATTCACCATATAAAAGGTACTGACAATGTCATGGCTGACGCCTATTCTCGTGCTTTTTAGGGGCCCTACTGTAGTGTTGCCCCTATTTAGGCCTTCTTTTGTCTCTCCCTGTTGGTCTGTCCTAATCTATCTTAAATACTCCTACAGGTACAAGATGGTTAATGCTAAAGGGGATCATGTGTTGGTTGTGTATCTGTTTGCAGCTAATCTTGCATACTACTAAACCCATCAGCCTAATATTTTTGACTGCACATTTATGACTGCATGTTCAAGGAGCTCTTGTGGTTGCTGTGATTCACAATCTTTGGAAAACCTTTAAACTATTTTAGCGATGGCCCTGTTCTATACCGCCATCGACTGGTAACTCCTTTATACCGGTGATCCACAACTGCTCTATATTGTCTTCTCTTCATTCCATTACTTAATGCATACACGCTGGACACTAGTAATGCATTAGTTATACCTCTGATAACAACGCGATTCTGATTAATAGCGGATGGGTGAAAAAGGGTGAAGTGTCTCTCCAGTAATAGAGACGTTGTGTGCCATTAGGCACCAAAATTACAATTACAGGTTAGGCAACTGGTTGTCAACAGTCTAGGCTTCGAGATTGCATCAGGATGTCTATTTATGGAGCCAAGCCGACCTGTGATGTTGATGATATAAATGCAAATTTATTACACAGGTGGTACTATATTTCTTATTTGTTTTCATGTGTTGAAGAAAGTTGGTCCAAGTCATGTTCAACAACATAGTATTTAAAGCATGTTTTCACATTGTTTCTGTCACACTGGCTGCTATTTTTGATGTAGTGAGTACCAGAGAACAAAGGACCAAACATTTTTTTCTTGTTTATCCAGAAAGCATTTTGGTGTTTTAAAGGTTCAAATACATGTAGGTTAACATCAATTACACTGGAACGTATATGGTTGAAAAGTGGGAGTTTCTTTTTAGACCTGTCGCCTACAGTATGTAGCTGGTTTTATAGAACACACTTTGCCAGAATAGAGCAATTAATAATAAAAACTTGAACCTTACAAATTACCATTACAAATGTATTAACAAATTTTGTTTTTAACAATGAGAGCAACCATTTAAATGAATATTCATATTAGACCCAAGACCATCAAATAATCAATATCAAAATCTAATGATTAATAATTAATTGACAGTCCTCCATACAAATGATAAACTTTATTGGAATGTACTTTCTGCTTAAAAACTTTGAACAACGAATTCTTGAAGTGCAATGACATTAAAGTAAATTAATCCTTGAAATGATGTTTAATATGATTCCAATTATCTTAAATGTCAGTTGACAGAAATGGAGCAACGGTCTGTTGTGCTGGAAAACGACTTCCGGAGAACAATGATAGAGATTTTAGGATCCCCAAGCCGCCGGTCACGATGGTTGAGGCGTGTTAGGACACTACAGAGCCGCTTGAAAAAACTGCAAGCAGGATTGAGATCTGCCATTGAGACCCTGACGGGTAGGTCAACCCAGCAATGCTGGAGGAGAATCCAATTCAGGAGAAAGTCCATGCTGAAGTACAAAAACTTAATAAAGCACCAGGTAAAACCAATTGTTTTCTTATCATTTTTCAAGCCAATTATTTTTTACTTGATAAAAACTTTATGCATGTTAACGCCACCATTTATGACGATTTATGTTTTTTGTTCAAACAGATGAGACCACTTTTAATATAAAAAACATTAATGTAATTACCGTTATTCGTCACAACAGTATTCCCTGTTTATCAATAAAATTTGCATTTGAGATTTTGTCCTTCAAATAAGACTTGATTAAGAATGAATCTATTTTTTTATTTGGTTTAATTTTTAACATTGTTCCTCATAACTTTACCTCTGAAACTAACACGACAAATCAAAATGTACTAATGTAGGTTTTCGCTGGATTGTAGCAAGATTCATATTAAAACAAAGAGGGTCCATCTAATTCTGCTCCTTTTATTCATGACATTGCTTCTCTTCTGCTTTCTGATACAGATAAGACGAAGAATGCGTTCCAAGTCTTGTCCTCACATCCCATCAGAACTCGAAGACTTTGATTTTTACAATAAGTGGAGGAGTTTGAGTAGAACCCTACTATTCAAGAAGGACCCTTTTGAAGACTTAGTCAAAACCTTGGACAGCTATCTTACATTTTTTGACAAGGTCCACAAAAGTATCATTTACCAACTGGATGTGACCTCTGCCCTGGTCAACTGGACCAGTCTTGTGCACCGACCTCAGCAGGTAAACTAAGCCCTAACTAAGCTATCTTAATGGGGGATATTTGAGCAGTTTTTGGCTCTACAATTGAATGTCACGACCTCTGACACTATACTGGTGGACTCAAATGCATGACTCTGGCACAGACGAAGATGTAGAAAGAATTATATTTAGCAAAAGGCGCTCTCAAGGAGGATATCAAAAGTGCAAAACAAATCAACACAAACTTAATTGGAACATGAAATAACCTGAACTCTGGGCTGGAACACTTGACGATACTCTTTAGGAACTGAACAAGACGAACTGACAAAGACAAAGGGAGAC